CCCCCCCGCCATTCGTTAAACCCCAATATAAGGTTTCTCTCTAGATCTCCAACTCATAAATGTTAATAAAATCAGAAGATATTAGATAAGTGATCGTCAAAAACTCCCAGACGATTTAAAAGATCGATGATTGACCACACTGTTCGACGTGTTGATTACGAGACGACGAGGTCTACGTTCAGCAGCACACACTGGTTGAATGGGGTGGCCGGCGGTGTTGGTTCAGTCTGGTTAATAAAGATGGAATGGGATGAGCTCCATGTTGCTACCCTCTCCCTCCTCCAATCGAAGATTATGTGACGTGATGAGTGCAGTACTCAAATGAAACAATTTTTTTTCGAAAAGGAACATAATTGAAATCTGTTCCCCATTTTCTCATAGATGGTATTATGCCTCATTAATAAAACTTTTCTTCCATATTAAGGTTCCCAGGGTTTAGATATTTCATTATATTTCAAGTTTTCGGAGCAAAATGAGATTGGAAAAGTGTTTAAATGAGTACAAAGATGGTTAGGGTTGAGAACTGACATTATGACTGCTGTTCTCTTGGTGATTGCATGAGTCAGTTAAGATCGTACAAAGTTAAAATTTTCAATTAAATCTAGTTTTATGCGTGCTACGTGATTTTTATTGCCACTTTTCAATCATTCCCAGTAATTGAAATGGGCAAGATTTAATTGATAATGACTGCATTATCATTAAAAGATAACAACAAATACGCCTAGTACAAATCGTGCATATGAAGGTAGATTATGGCGAACAGTGACATACAATCCTCCTTAAAGTCCTTCATTATCACAAAAATATTAAAAAATAAATCGATCTCTCAACTGTCAGATGATGAGGAAAGTTCACCACGTGGGTACTTTCTATACTTGAGCACTTTAATCAATTTTCGATTTCACGTTCCCAAGGGGATTGTGAATAATCATTCAGCGGGAATATGAAGAAAATTAAAACAACCTTCCTTTCGCCTTCTACTACTTCAAAATTTTACATAAATTGTCAATTTTTCGAACATAAATTAAGTGAGTTCCACCTTCTCCCATATTTATGCCCTATTTGTGCAATAAATGACTTTTGTTTGAGCACAAATGTTGAAAACAAAAATGAGGAAACTCTGCGAAGAAAAATTGCATTTACAACAATATCAGTATCACAATAAATTTCGATTTATTTTTTTCCTTTATCAGTTTCTGTATTTAGAAAGTGAAATATATGACCCCTATTTCCTAATTTGCACAAAGTCGCTCAAGACAACAGACATTCAACTGGGAAAGATCAGTAACAACTAATGAAGTGATCACTGACATAGATTGGTGTTATTGGAATAGCGGCATTCTTAACCGTATTAGGGTATACGAATTATACTAACTCCTATAAAAATTCATACTGATAAGGTGAATTTGCATAATTTTGTGATTGGTACTGATTAGCGCCTGTAATTCTCTTACCTCAATCCATCTAAGACAGAATACCGCGGAGATGGGCAACGGAGCTTCTTTAAAGAATGTCCCAAGTCTTTTGAAGGTCATTTTTCGGATTTCTTCCTCTTGATCCGTAATACAAACCAAAATCAGCTCCTTTGCATAAAAAATACTTATTATTATTATTAGCAATACAGAGAATGAATAATTAAATTATACATTTGTTAATGGGTGCGTAATAGAATGAATCACCATGTATTGGAAATGAAAATATGGGGAAATTAATTAAGAATTTATTATCCGCAAGTAATTTTCAAATTGAGTGGTTGGATAACTCAGTAAATATTTGTTTAACGATTAAATAAGCATAAATGATGACGCAAAGCATTATTTTTGTTACAGAATAGTTCAAAGGTGGGAAATTATGTTCCGTTTGGTAATTCTTTAAGGGGGAGAAATTTTGGCTCAGCTTTCCAAAGTGGAAGGCTGCTCACTACTCGCATTGAAACTAGCAGTTAGTAAGAGGACGAAAATGTGAACTGGAAGATGAATAAGTAGTAAATTCTTAAGGGGATCACAAACAAATTTAAATTAGTTCAATGTGCGGCTGAATGACAACAACAAAATATGACCACGCTTGCTGAAGGATATACTGAGATTACATTTTAACTCATCTAGTAGGTGATTTATCTAAAAGCCTTCGTGAAAACTCTAAAGACTACCAATTCTATCATTTAGAAGGTTGTTACCAATAAAGGAAAAAATATTTATTGTAAATATAGCGTTTGAGCTCGAAGTAACTAACCTCGATAGCTAATCGAAGAATTTGAACTGGTTTCTTCCCAGATCTCTGATCGATCAAAGCTCCTTCTGATTCGATTACCGTCGTGAACCACTTTGCAGTTGACTCAGTTGAGTAATCCTTGCCATCAACACTCTCATCGCTAATTGGTTCAAGGTCACCTACCTCTGAGAGGCCATCGAAAGAGCCACCGCATGGAATAGTCAATGGTGACCCAGTTGTGAAATCTAAGTCAGTATTTTTCAAGTGGCGAATTGTCCATCGAATGGCATGAGATACAAGTTGCCTTCTGGCTATCGGGTGATTTTGCGCTGTAAATATATATAACAGGCATCAATAAGAATAAAGTAAAAAGAAAAATATATTTAAAGTTCCTCAAGATACAATTTCGAATCATACATAATCTAATCGCGGACGAGTACATTCGCAGATTTTGCTTAACGAATGGACGATTCCAAAGCCTATGGTGCGTAAAATATTCGAGAGAAAGAAGCAAAACTATGCATATATTACAGAGAGAAGTTTACCAATTTATAAGGTGGTCTGCAGGAACATTCAAACGTACAATGAATTTTGGATCGTCATCACTTATTACGGGTCTCCAAGGATTATTAAAATTCATAGTAGCAACGCTGTTATTTTCTTCTCGGGAAGGATATCTTCGCGAAAATAAATAAAACACAAACCTTGCAAATGGAAAGACAACTTCTTAACTTCATAAGAATGTGATTTAGCTAAATAATAAAAAATGATTTCTAACCAATCCAAAGTTGCACTTGTTGTAAAATATAATCCATTGGTTTTAGATAGGTAATCAACTGTCTTTAGAAAATCATCAGTAAATAGATTTTCATTTGCGATCTCTTCTTTGTTAGAGAAGTTTGAAGTTAATATCGACGAAATAGCAGAAAGAATTTCAATTTCTTCTAGGGTCTGAGATATCTTCGTAGCTTTTTGAAAGCTTGACTCTAGCTTCTTAATATCCATCTCTGCATCAAATTGGGTCAATAATTTTAAGCAAATTGTTATAGGAAACTTAAACAATTTAAAGGTCATTGTGAAAATTTCATACATATATTTTTACTGAACTAGCTTCAATAATATAAATATTTAATTTAAATTGAGTAAAACTTTACTTAAAATCTTTATTTTTATTAGACACACAAACTTATATAGATTAGTAAAATATAATAAATAAAAAGAGTAAATTTGAAAGCTTTTTAATAATACTAATATACGCGACGATAATATCAAGCTATTTCAAAATGAATATGTTTCTTTTTTTCTTCTTTTACCAAGAACCCCACTTAAAACTTTTAGAGTATAATAAATGCATTATTATTTCTTCGAAGTATTAGAATAAAAGAAATCTTAAATTTTCATACTTGCATCACACGCCAAACCTATGCGTAATTATAAAGTTAAAATTAAAACATCGAAAAATTATTTCGAAGTTCTATCATGAATAATAACTACAAGTTCTAAACCTTAGCAACTAAGGACAAATATCATAGTTTTACAAGAACCCTTATGAGAATTCATGTTATCATAGCATAGCATAATAGCATATTATGTAAATTATCATCTACCCTTAACTAAAGTCACTTTGAAACACACATAAAATAACTGCAAAATGATTTTCCTGTTAGCCAATAAAGTCAGGTATGGAGATTCAAAATAGGTAATAAAATGTTTCAATTATAAAATCGATGTGACCATGGTTAATGAGAGCTTGGATTTTGAGTCCCTCTCAAGTGGAACAAAGACTTTGTGTTCGGCCTACTAAGAATTACCTTTCCAACTTAGGGAAAAGATTTTACAAAAAAACATTAAATTGCAGCTGATTTCCTCTTAGGGAAGACGCGAAAGAGTGGGAAGTACTTGAATGCTAATATTTGCTAAAAAAATTGTTTCATTCCTTCATTTAGGATTTTCTGAAGATAATTAGAAAGTAGACAGACAAATTTAGAATAACAATTATTTTTAACGTTGCTCTCTAGTATTTATTTTCAGTAAAATTGGATTTTAAATTATCAACTTGCATTATCTATCTAAGATTTTGCCATTGAAACTCTATAATTACCCATAATGAGTGTTATCGCATCTCTGTCTAAACATTTCCTCATTTTCATACTGAAATCTTAATTCAAAACGTCCATTGAAGTTAACAAAATTAGAGCTACATTCCACGATACAAACCATAATATTATACTACTTAACAAAGATAACTGATTTATTCTAATGAAGACTAATCAGATTTCTATTAATTTCTAACAGCAGATTAAACAAAGCTACATTAATAACATTTTCGAATGATCATGAAAATATTTCAACAGTAAATTTAACTCTCCCAAATGATTATTGATAAAAAGTTGTTATGGTTTATTCCATATAGGCTAAATTAACGGGGAAATAAGACTACTATACCCGCATCAAAAATAGTTAGAACTCTTCGCCAAATCCTGGTCGGAAATGCTACAAATTTGCAAAAACTGCTGATTCATTTATTCAGAAATTCTCGAAGTTTAAAGCCCTTCTATCGACGGGACGTGAAACTGTCATTTAAATTCAATTACTAACTGCTGAAAAAGCAAAAATCCACCAGTTATCAATAAAATACTGCTTGAATAATTAAAACTCTTTGCGAACTGTTAAAATTGATTATTAAATATTTTAGACATTTAAATTGAAAATTTATTAATTAACGTTCAGTTTCAAATATATTTCCTCAAGAATTTGGTTATAGTCAAAAAAATAAATAAATAATAAGACAAGCAAAGTAATATATTGAGCAAAAATAATGGATAAAATTCGAAATAAGATAAAGGCAATACGAATATATGCTAACTTTAGGTATTATTTTCAAGAGTATAGAAATCATATTGTATTATATTTTAAGTGTGGAATGCCATCTAGAATTTTTTATTTTGTGTTTTTAAATATATGCTAACATAATAATGTGTGTTTAAATTGATTTTAATCACTCGGCGCTCACTTATTGGGAGAAGCGTAGTAATGCGTGCAAGTGGAAAAGTTCGTGCTTTTGTGGTATTTTAATGCGTTCTTTTTTAGCTTAAGTTGTACGTCGTTGTTGGGCGTAAAAACCCAACCGAGAAGGAGCCGAAGCCCGTTCCTTATCGTATGCGCATTTTTGCGCCTGATTCGGTTACTGCCAAGTCCCGTTTCTGGTACTTCATTCGCCAATTGAAAAAGATGAAGAAAGGTTCCGGTGAAATCGTTTCATGTAAAAGAGTAAGCTTAATAGTTTTTGTCGGTTTTACTTCGCGACGCATGATCACTGGCTGGGATTGTTTATTTCAGATAAGTTCGTGCGAATATTTACACCTTTTGTTGCGCTTTGCAACTTTTGGGACATCTCATTTTAATTGCACTGCTTACCGGCTTGGGTAGTAATATTCGGCTAAAACCAGTGCAAATATTTATGCGGTCTGATTGCTTTCATTTCGCGATATTTTATTTAAAATTCTAAAACTTAGCTGGGCTATTATCAGGATTCATACAAATTGGTTAACTAATAATATTTAATTTATGAGTTACTGTATGTATATTTGTCATTTTTTTGGATCGATCGCTGGAAAATCTTGAGTCAATACCATCACTTGTACTACTTTCGTATTTATATCCTCTAATTTAACAAGTCTTTTCTTTTAGATTTACCCAAAGAAGCCTTTGGTTGTCAGGAACTATGGTATTTGGATTCGTTATGATTCCAGATCTGGTACTCACAATATGTACAAAGAGTACCGCGATATGACTGAGGAAGGTGCTGTCACTCAACTTTATCGTGAGATGGGTGCCCGTCATCGTGCTCGCGCAACCTCCATCCAGGTTATTAAGGTTGAAGTGGTACCCGACGAGAAGTGCCGTCGTCCGCATGTTAAGCAGTTCCATGATAAAAACCTTAAGTTCCCACTTCCTCATCGCGTCAACAGGCAACTGCACACTCCTCGTTTCACAACGACACGTCCTCTTACTACTTTCTAAGCATTCACGAGTGTAATATATTATTGGAAGTAAAGTGGATTGCTTTCTATATTGCTATTATAATACGGTGGTTTACTGGTCTCGTATTATAATTGTTGCGTTTTAACTAGTAAGATTCTGCACCATTTTCGCTTCTTAGGTTGAGTTGATTCTTGTCTAGCAAATGATACTGGCTTCCCATCGAGTTGTTTCTGAGGCCATCTTTGCCCTCTTGGTGTATTGTTTTTGCTTATGGTACTCTATTATGGGCTATTGCTTCATCCTATTTTTCGCACTTGTCCGAAACGTTGCAGTGGACGGGTTGTAAAATTGTTTCTTTGCTCATTACTTGTTTGTATCCAACTCATTGAGAAATCATACGTGTCTGGTAAATAGGGATATTAGTGTCACCAGGGATGTGTGAAGCTTTATAGCGGAGAGAATAATTGACGCAATGGTTCGGGGACTAGCCATAACCATACCTTGGATAGTAGGGAAATATGGTTTGGTGAGTGAATTAACTTAGTGGGAGGTTAGAGTAATCGCCAATTCATCGTGCTTAGTTATCTAAGTGGCAGGGCATGTTTAAGGTTATTTTACTTGCTTGGAAGTCTGGCCGTCGGAGATCTATTCTCACTAAAATGAAAACTAATCTTTAGTATTCATGGTTCTATGATGAATTGATACACGACTTAAATAATCAAATGAGTGTCATTTCGATACCCATATTTGAGTGTATTTGCATGAACTCATTGAAAACAGTCTTACTGCTGCTGCAATCATGAATAACTTATAGTGGGTGCAAATTGACTGTAGGTAAAAGGGGAGGAGGGGTAACCGTTTCTAATGCACTCTTGCTCTGCGATCAGACACGCCTAAGTTGGATAGCGATACGGGATATTACGAAATCAAGTCAAGTACGACCATCTTCAAAGCTAAGCTCCAGTTGGACGATAAATCAGTGCTAAAACCATATCTAAAGAAATCGATGACCTTTCCATGAGCGAGTAGGGTACAGCAGTCTTTTGGAGATCATAAGGCCACCACAATATCAGAGAAGGTAAATAAGTGGAAGGTGGGATGAGATGTGTTTGCATTCAATAAAGAGCTTTATTTAGCTATTGCATCTCTGCTCTGTTAAGGGTGGGATCTCCTACGTATCATTTATGAAATATTAAAAACCTACCAAGAAGGTGAAATTTGATGGCTGTTTAATAGAATTTGAACTTCTGAATGTAAGCAATTATTGTACAACCCGAACCCAGGATTCAATTAAAGCAGGGGCCTTTGGTACCTTGTCGTCGATCTCGGCATCACTTCAACCCTCTCCCCATTTTTTGACGTCTCGGCTTTTCTGTAGGCCCATTCCAGTTCCTCCACCCAATAAACATGTGGGTAATAATCAATACTTAGTTTTCATTCCCATGTGCTACGGGTTGAGAGCCTTCTCGAACATCTCATTATCGTGAGCATAATTAAATAAAAGCATATTATGTGATATTACCTTATTGATAATCAGTAATGTGGTTATTTTAAAATTTACATTAAATGATCATTTAATTTCAGTCAGTAATATAGGAACCTTGAGAATGAGACTTTTATATATCACAGCTGACCCCACTCAGTCCCCAATAGGACAATAGAAAACTATTTGAATTGCAAATTACGATTGTTCATAATTTCAACGAAATCGCGTATACGTGTTAGATGATTGGCTGCCTGACTAACCAATAATTACGCTTCGAAGCCTATCTAGGGGGAAACCGAATATTCCAGTGAAGGAAAGAGGAATCTCGCGAGTTTGTTATGGTCAGTCTGTGCGACACTCCATCAATGACCAAATAGAAATCCTGCTAAAGAATATTACTCAGAAATATTTAGCTATTAAGGTTCACACGAATTATGCTAGAGTTATCTGATAACTTATCGCTTTGTCAACATTACACTTCACTATCAATATACGTATTGAATAAACGTATTCCGTACTTCATGTCTGTTTCCCTTATAGCTGGGCTATAGCTTAGCTTGTTCTGGGAGTCTAGCTAGATGTTGGAGAATCTGCCATAGAGATTTCTGAGTCAGTCAGGCTTTACTAGCGTAGCAATCCGCTACAAGTCGGTGTGAAAGCATTCCGATATCCACGGCTCCATAATCAGAAGATATATAATTTTAACGATGGCTTTAAACACCTCTTTAAAGTCATACATTTAACATCAGTAAAACTGCATTATAACTCTAACCGAC